ATACTCAATTAATGCTGAAGTCTGTGATTTACAGATAGGAACACTGCAGTCATGGCAGCAGGAAAGTAAGCTTCCCTGCACGTCAGGCCTGTAGTGAGAGGAACACAACCTCCATGCTCACTCAATGCTCAGCATCTCTGCTGCAACTGAAAGTGTTTACCTACTAGCAGCAACAGTGTACTGCTTTTAGTGAAATAGACACCTATCCACTAAGAACAAGATAGAAAACCACTGACTAGTCTCTCATGGGCCAACAACTGTCCTTGAAATCAGGGGGATTTGGGCACCTCATTCCTTTAAATCTCTTCAAAAATCCCAACCAAGAAAGAAGATGGGATGCTACAAAGAGCAAGTTATTGAATAGTGACACTTTTCACACAGTCAACTATTCTGTTAACCCTTTGGGGAGGGGGTGACTACTGCATTAAGGGATAACTATAGGTATATTTTAAAGAATTTGAATGTTCTCTAACATGATAATCTCTTTAAGGGGTTGAGTCACTCAACCTGCCCACCTCAATCAAGTACATATTGTGACATTGTGTCTTTAGCATATATATATGTATAAGTTATAAAAACTGAACTATTTATCAGGCTAGAGAGCATTCGACTGCTATTCAAAATACAGGTAGCAAGACTGATGGGAACATACCAGAGATTAAAAAGTCAATGAGACACCTAACAGGCACAGGCCAATATAAAATATGAGGGTCAGTCCACCACTGAAAACCTAATCTCCACCTGCTGGAACAGAAAAGGCGGCTGAGATTCCCACCACTGTGGCCTTGGCTACACTGGTGCTGTACAGTGCTGCAACTTGCTGCGCTCAGGGGTGTGAAAACCGCCCCCCCCCCCCGAGTGCAGCGAGTGCAGCGCTGTAAAGCGCCAGTGTAATCAGCGCCTGCAGCACTGCACGCTCGCTCGCAGCGCTGCAAGCTATTCCCCTCGGAGAGGTGGAGTACTTACAGCGCTGTGAGAGAGCTCTCGCAGCGCTGGCAGAGCGACTACACTCGCGCTTCACAGCGCTGCTGCGGCAGCGCTGGGAAGTCCTGAGTGTAGCCAAGGCCTGTGATGTCCTGGGACCCTGGTTCAGGGGCCTCCATCTTCCAGATCTCCCTCTAGCCAATAAAAACCTGATAAATATGAAGGCTGCCCTCCCCAGACAAAGGACTCCTATGGATGCTAGAAGGAAGGAACGCTCCCCCAACCTCTATCCCAGTGCTTCTGATTTTTGGGGTGTCTCCACACTTGTACCCCTGCCTCAGCTTGGATTTTTGGGGGCTCTCTCCTTTGACTTAACTCCTTTGCCTCTGCTGCAGCTCAAAGCTTTCTAAAAAAAAACAAACAAAAAACAAGAAACTGTAAAGTGAAATTGGCAAGATTGTTGCCAGTTTCACAGTTGCAATAGTGTCTTGTCCTATTATAATCAAGGGGATAGACTGTGACCCAGTAGTTTTACAAGGCAGCCTACACACACCCTCCCTCAATCCTCAGCCTCTAGACAAGCTGTATTAACACTTCCTACAAGGCTGCAGAATCGAAGCACTTCCAAGTCATTTTCAGCCTTGTTTGTGGACAGTACATGAACCACGTGGAGGCACACGGGCGGCAGGAGTGCCTGGGGCAGAACTGAGTGCAAAGGGGGCTGTGAGCCTGGAGCTAGTGTGCGATGCAGGGAAGCTGGATGGCTGGGGCAGGCTGCCCAGGGACAGGTGAGTGGTTTGGGGGCTGGTACCTGGGTCCAGGGGGAGGGCTGTGTGCACAGGACAGCAGGAGCCGCAGGCCTGGGTTGCACCCCCAGGGCCGTGTGCCCAGGGCTGGGGGGCGGAGCTGGGTGCCCGGCAGGGCAGGGGGCGCGGCACGGGAGGGAGGGGGCGTAGTGTGGGAGGGGGGCCCGGCAGGGGAGCGTGGCACGGGAGGGAGGGGGGCCCGGCAGGGGGCGTGGCCTCGCCTCCGCGCGCTCACCCGTCGCCCGGCACCTCGCGCAGCTTGAGGCCCAGCGCCTGCAGCTGGTTGCCGAAGCTCACGAACTCCTGGGCCGCGTCGCCGCCGTCCTCCGGGGGCGCCCGGTTCCTGCGCTCCTTGGCCAGCGCCCGGCGGGCCGCCCGCTCGTCCCGCTTCCGCTCCAACTCCGCCTTCTTGCCCCCGCCACCAGGCCGCGCCTTGGCCGCCTGCCTGCGGGACATGACCCGGCTACTGCCCCAAGCCCCCAACGCTACCTGCACCGCTACACCGGCTACTGTGCGTACTGCGCCTGCGCCGGAACGCCACCTCCCTAGCCGGCTTCTTTCCGCCGCTGTCACGTGACCGCCTTTCTACCGGTAGTACCATAGAGCGTGCCCAAGAGGGGCCAGAGCGGCTCTTCCCCAACCGTGGCCAATGCGGTCCGCCATCTTGAAGGCTGGTCTGGGAGAAAGGACAGGAGACTGAGTTTGGGGGAAGGGAAGAGGCCGAGCCCGGTGCGAAAGGGGGGATAAGCTTCAGAGAGCGAGGGGAGCCTGAGCCTTGGGGGTAGGAGGTGGAGAAGCTGGGCCTGGGGGAGTGTGGGGAGAGGAGGGCTGAACTTGGGAAAGGAGGAAGAGAAATGTGAGCCTGGGTCGGGGGAGAAGGGGAGACTGAGCCTGATTGGTGTGACAAGAGGGGAAGGATGAAATTGTGCAGAGAGGAAGGGGTGGGGGACGCTGAGCCTGGTTGGGGCAGGGGTGGGAAAGAAAATGGGAGGCAAAAATAATTCAATATTATTATTTCTTAATTCTTTATCTTCTTGAAGGAAATAATTCCAAATCCACTCTCTTCTTTCACTCTTAGTCACTACTGGGCTTCTTTCTTTTCACAGGAGTCCATCTGCCTGGCTAGACTGTAGATAAGGACTCTTGATGCAAGCCTCTGTCCACTGCACCTCCCTTTGCTGCTCTAGGTATCCATATTGCATTTACTTGTTCCCACAAAAGTTGACCCCTTTTCTTTAACAAAACACAGTGATCCTGTCTGATTGGTTACCCTGATATATCTGTTAATTGGCACTCCTGTTTTGTCCCATGTAAGATTGTGTTGGACTGGATCTTTTACTCTAGCCGGTGGCATCCAAGTCATATTAGCAGTGGTCAGGGGAATGGGTGTGAAGGGGAGTCCCTGCAACCACTTTGCAGACCTGGCTATTAGCCTCTATTTCATACCTAAAATATTGCCATAAAGCATAGTTTGATAGAATAACAGATTAATGAAACCCATGTGAGAGAGAGATTTGAATGCAAACTGTCCATGAGATGGCAGCAGAATAACACAGTTTGTGGTGTGATCCCATGATATAGGGATGTTAAGAGTTAGATCCAGGGTGTGAGATGAGAGTTGTGGATAGCTGAGTTGGTATGGAGGTAAATACCAAGTCCCACCTTAAGAATTTTATTTCTACCAATAAAATGCTGTTTATTGTCATCATGTTCAGCGAGCGGTTATTTCAGTCGGCTGTGAATCAGGCCCTTAATGCAGCATCAGCGTTAGTTAATAACAATGGAACACTGCATTTTAGGACCAGCTTTTTCAAGTAGCTATTTTACACCTGAACAACTCCCAAAACATGTGCACAAGTTGGGTAAGTATGAAATTGTACCTTGAAAATCCCTTCTTATATGTTTTACAAATATTAACTAAACTTCACAGTACCCCATAGGGCATGAGTATTTATTAAGCACACAGTTAGCATCATTTTGGTGGCATTCATTTTGATATACATTGCCCAGTCAACATTAAAAAAATCTAGCTAGAACTCTCATGTGCAATTTAGTTGCAATATCCAGAGTGCATACTAAAGTATGAGGCCATGGACTTGGAAACCTAACAGTCCAATTCAACATTTTCTATGTCCATGAGCCAGTTGGTATAAATGATTTTTTTTCTAGTTAATTTTTTTTTAATTTGCACAGCTGAGCCTAGGGAAGCATCCTTCTTCCCTTTCCTAGTGAACAAGCAGATATTCACTCTTGTATTTAGATATAATATATGGGCCAAAGGTGTTAACCTATTCACTGACCCACATAAAACAGTGTTAAATAAGGTCCAGAGTTTGAGCTACAGAGACCTCAGCCTGCTTAATACAGTGGCAAACACACTATAAAATTCAGACCAAACACTAGGAATTTATTGATTGAAACACACAAAAGGAAAAGAATCAAAACAAGGTAAAGAGCACTGATACTGAAATTGATTGTGCGAAACAAACTTAAAACCTATCAAAGTCCTATATAGTGGATATTTATTGAAGTCTCTTATTCTATCAAAGAGTCATTCTTGGTGCGGGAGAAAGGATTAATTCTGTTGTTCAATTCTGAATTGAAAATAATAGTCACTTTTGTGCCTTAGACAAAAAAGACAGACACAGAAGGGAGAGAAGCGATAGAATAGTAAAGATGGGGAAATTCCTTTTGTGATGTTCTCAGGCTACAAGGCAGCTGGTCAGTCATGGAGGGATGCTTTGGGCTGGCAGTCGGCATGACCGCTCTTAATTTGGACTTCAACTCGCCTCCCTGGTCAGGGACATCGTCTTGTTGGTCTGGTCAAGTCCCTCTCATTCACTGATCCTTCTCAGACTGGGCAGAGCTGGATGGTCCGTCTCGTCTCACTATGCTGGTGCGATGCATTACAGCTGATTTCAGGATCAGGTGAAAACTTGAAAGAGGTAGGACAATGCGGGGCAGAAAAGAGCACTTGAGGGAGGGCAAGACAGAGAAGGATCTCCCATGTATCACATGCAGGGCCGGCTCCAGGCACCAGCTTAACAAGCAGGTGCTTGGGGCGGCCAAGGGAGGGGGCGGCACCTGCGGCAATTCGGGGGCGGCAGGTCCCTCACTCCCTCTAGGAGCGAAGGACCTGCCGCTGAACCGCTGCTGCCGATCGCGGCTTTTTTTTTTTTTCCAATTGCCGCCGCCGATGGCGATCGCGGTTTTTTTTTTGCGCTTGGGGTGGCAGAAATGCTGGAGCCGGCCCTGATCACATGGGGGTCGTCACTGACGCAGTGATGAAGATCAAGTGTCCCCACCCAAGGTCTGGTGTCATGGCAACAACCCTTCCACCACAGCCATGCTGATGGTAAAAGTTCTTGTTGTGTTCTCCCCCAGAGTCTCTTTTAAAGGGCCCAAACAGGCGATGGGTGGAATAATCCATCCTCACTTTATTCTGTCCAGCAATTAGGCCTATTTTCCAACACCCCAGTTTGGTTTCTTGATTTCCAATCCTCTGCTCCTCTTGTTTACCAGTCATAGTCTTAACACAGTCCTTGAGTGGTACAATTTGGCCCTTTCTGTTTAAAACAATTGAGTCTTTCTGTCTCCACCTTTTCTTAAACAGTTCTCTATAACAAATCATTGTGATAATTCATGAACCTCTACCCATTTTTCACTAGTTGAGTTTACAGTTAGGATAAATGTGTAGGCCCAGTTATCACAATATCAACAAAGTGCAGCCTCCTCTCCGACTAGTGAAGCCTACCCCTAAGAGTTTTTTGTTTTGTTATCGATTCCCACCCCATGCACACACTTTGGAGGGCCCTGCTCTGAGCTCCCAGCAAGCTAACCTGTATTCTTGTGATCCCACCACCTTTAGCTTCCATAGATCTGCTCCCCAGTCTACGCTCCGTATTAGCTGCTGACATTGTAGACCTCTAGTGACAAGCACCCTATGATTCTGCTCATTCGTGAAGCCTTGCCGCTCCCCGATGTGCTATGTGGGTTGCTGTTGTCTGCCTGGAGCCTCAGATGTCTTATTCCTCACAGGACCACAGAAACCTGTGATTAGCTCTGCAAGTGTTCCCCCTTCAGAGAGGCTCAAGAGGGGATGTTCAGCAGCAAAAGTCCTTTGAGTGAAAGATGGGAGGCTGGATTTTATTAATTCATGGTCATTGTCCATTGTGATCCTTGCCTGAGAGATCATTCTTATAAGCCTTACCCATGCTCTAAAACTTCCTCCCAAAATTAGGAAGTGGGCCAGAAATACCAGAACAATGATTGTCTCTTGCCAGTATCCCAAAGGTGTCAGAGGGTGGATTTCTCTGTTTCCCTAGAAAGCTATAACTCCAGGAAGCTTTCTCAGCTAGAAAACTAGCCGTCTTTTCTGGAAGAGGGTTTGATAAAGAAAGCTTCCTGTAGTTTGACATCTAACTCTCCATGGATCATCTTGAACTGCACCACAAAATTCAAACTACCGAGTACAGTATGTGAAAGCAGAGGCTTTTTAGGGCATCTCTAGAGCTTTTATAATCCCTGTTAGGAACTGTGGGCGACAAAGGCATGATTTTTGATAGACAATCTACCTTATCATGCTGTAACATTCTCAGTGGAGTTCCCCAGGAAGTATTGATGGCTGCTGTGCAGCCTTTAATGCTGTAGGAAAGGTCAAGGAGACGATAAAAACACAAGGACAAAGGAGGCGGCCAAGCCACAGCTCAGTCCCCAAGATTCTCCCGCTTAGGGGGCCAGAGAGAAACCTGCTATTTTTTTATTCTGTTTAGTTCCTGATGAATATTCATTTACATCAGGCTCTCCAGCTCCTCTTTTCTCTTTCTTGCTTCCTTTCCTTTCTTTGTCTAATTCCCTCTCCTTCTCTTTCCACTCTCTCCTTTGTTTCTGTCCCTTTGACCACGTTTCCACCCCCCAGATAATGCTCTACTTTGCCAGTCTCCATGGGCCTGATCTGAAATTCAGTGAAGTCAAGAGGACTCCCATTGACTTCACTGAGCTTTGGATCAGACCCCCTAAGGCCTCCTTCATTCTCCTCTCCCAGCTCTCTTCTAGAATTGGGTACAATTTTTCAGACAAAACTGTTTTTTTGTTTTTTGGGGGGGGGTTTGGCAGATTCGGGTCAGCTAAAACGTTTCACCAATTTGTGTTGAAATGAAAAAAAAATCAGAAATGTCAAAAGAACCATGTCAACATTATCAAAATGAAACATTTTGGGGGGCTAGAGTCGCAAGGGAATTTGGCATCAGCCACAAAAACACAGGAGATGGAGATGCTCCTGGTAACCTCTAGCCTAGGGAATAGCGTACTCACCAGGGACATGGGAGACCTGTAGAAGGACACCCACCACCTTGTTTTCCTTCTTCTCTGGCTGTTGTGAATGTGGTCTCTCGTTTCTTTTGCTTTTATTAAAAATGCCCAAACCAAAAATTTTCTGATTTGATTCACTGAAAATCCTCCCCCCCGCCAAAGAAATGGGTTGGGTTTGAACTGAACTATTTTATTTATTTTTCAGAATTGGCTGTGAACCAAACAATCAATTATTCACACAGCTCTGTCCCCTTCTCCCTCTTCTCTCCATTCCTTTCTCTACCCATTTTTGCTCATTCTACCTCAGGGATAAATGGCCGTCAGGTTGGGGGGGGGGGTTATTAATTTATGCTTTTCCTAGTTGAAAAAATATGGCCTCCATTCTCATCCAATCGACAGAACTTCTGACCCTGTACTCTGGGTACTGACCCTGCACAGCAAGCTTTACTTTATAGGAAAGTATGATGGCATTCTGCAGAAATAGCCCCAATACAGTTTACATGATATCTGTGGGATTGCAAGGTCTGGGGCTATTACTGTACAATAGTGTGATGTAAGTGGTGAGTTCAACTCCTGGTATGGCACTTGAAAGTATGATCTTTTGGCCCACAGGTAAGACAAGATAATGGGCTGGTAGGGGTGCAGCATTTTGGGATGATCTCGGAGTGTGTGGGTGGTGCTGTGAAGTATGAAAGGCAGGGGGGACCCTCATCTGTTAGGTTTACCATCGTGAAATAGAGTGATCAGGACCTCTTTCACTCTGCTGAGAGCAAACAGCACTCCGACCATAAAATATCCTTCCCACCCTTGTCAGTGACAACTGGTTCAAAGACCATCTGGCCATCCACTACCAGTGCAATCATGTGCTGTCCCTACATCAATAACTCATGTTCCATTTATTTATCACCCCTGGACTCTGCACTTTATTTATTGCCCTGTTTTCTTATTAGAACTGTGATGACCTTAGCAGGATTTGCCTGCCGTTTTCAGGACCGCCGCATTCCAGATGAATTGACAGCTGATTAATTTCTAGTTCCCTTTGTCTGGGAAGTTGATTGAAGTGACATTGTCTGATGGCCCCCCGGGAAATGCTCAGAATGGTAGAAAAGGACATTGAGGCAGAAAAAGTGAGTCGATTCCCTTGGAATGAGCATTACAAATATGCTGCCTAAGCTCGGCCACATAGTCCTGCCCCAGAGCAGGACCGACGGGGCAAGCTAAGGGGGCCACTTGTGACTGTGTGTAAAACTGGGCCTGGCTCCCCTGTGTCAGCGAAAGGGAGCCAACTCCAGCCAGTTACAGGGGGCTGGGCTACACCCGTGCCTATAAAGGACTGCCAGAGGGCAGGAAATACTAGAAGTGGGACGCTGCCAGGAACAAGGGCACCAGAAACCCCTGCGAGGGGTGACCTTGAAGCCTGAGAGCAAAGGAGTGAGTTAAAAGACTGGTTGCTGTTACTTTATTTGCCTGTGTTAAGTGAATAGACCTTTTTAAAGAAGACTGGGCGTGGCAGCAAGTGGTTGGAAACTAGGGAAAAGCCCTGCGACAATGTGTCTATGTGGATTTTCAGTTCTTGTCCAGCAAGTTGAATGAGTCTGATAGTGTGGCTTTATTTCTATGCTGATCTCCATCATCAATACCCTCTTTTTCTTTGTCAGTGTAATAAATTCCTTGCCTTTTAAGGGTAGCCTAAAGGTCCAGCCATAACAACAAACAAGACCTGGGCCTGTCTGGGATGCAATACAAGGGGTGTCTCACGATAGCCTCAGTAACTCGTGGCCTAGTTTCACCACTCCCAGCTCCCCAGCAGTAGGATCAAAGGGGCGTGTCCCATGCTTCTGGGGGCTTTGTGAGATTATTGTTTGGGATCCCACAAACCATGATGGTATCTTCAGCAGCCTAGGAGAAAGAAGAAAAGAATTGTGCTGCACTCCCTTCTCACTTGCTGTGCTGAAAATCAGGAGTAACTCCATTGAAGTCAGTGGAGTTACACCAGTGTAAAATTGGTGTATGGGGGGAAAAGAGAATCTATTCTAATGTCTGTCCATATCTCTATTTCTTCTGTTAGAATCATAGAATATCAGGGTTGGAAGGGAACTCAGGAGGTCATCTAGTCCAATCCCCAGACCCTTAAATGGCCCCCTCAAGGATTGAACTCACAACCCTGAGTTTAGCAGGCCAATGCTCAAACCACTGAGCTATCCCTCCTCCACATATTGCTACATTGTAAGTTGCATTAAAAGTCTGAAGGTGCATTTATATTCGCTGAAGCTTGCTGCTTTATTCATATTTACTGTGGGTGACAGGCAACACATCAAGAGTCTCTGCATCTGAACTGACTGTACAAACTGACTTTTGATCAGCATTGCTGGGGTGGCAGATGGAAGGTGCTTACGTGCCCCTGGTAGCCATTTTACACTAAGGCTGCTGCTTAAGACAGAAAATAAACTGTGGGGCATGTTGAGGAATCAACACAACTGTTGTTTACTCTCGTCACTCGAAAAAAATGTTTCAAAACATATCTGTTTCCAAGATCGGGGGAACATGTTAGGTCTGAGGAAAGGTGTGATCATTCTCCTATCCCAAAGTTAGAACATTTGAAATGTATCATGAACAGTAGAAGCAGCTCAGGGGACTATCAATAGGGCCCTACCAAATTCACAGTCCATTTTGGTCAATTTCACAGTCATAGGATTTTAAAAATTGTAAATTTCATGATTTCAGCTATTTAAATCTGAAACTTCACGGTGTTGAAATTGTAGTGGTCCTGACCCAAAAATGGATTGGGGTTGTCTGTGTCACAAGATTATTGTAGGGGGGTCACGGTATTGCCACCCTTACTTCTGTGCTGTTGCCTTCAGAGCTGGACCCTTGGCCTGCAGCTGCCACTCTCCAGGGCGCCCAGCTCTGAAGGCAGCAGCGCAGAAGTAAGAGTGGCATGGTATGGTATTGCCACCCTTGCTTCTGCTGGCAGGGCACTGCCTTCGGAGCTGGGCTTTCCAGCCACCCAGCTCTGAAGGCAGCGCAGAAGTAAGGGTGGCAATACTGTGACCCCCTACAATAACCTTGCGCCCCCCCCCCATGATCCCCTTTTCAGTCGGAACCCTCAGTTTGAGAAACGCTGGTCTCTCCCGTGAAATCTGGATAGTATAGGGTAAAAGTACACAAAAGACCAGATTTCACAGGGGAGAGCAGCTTTCACGGTCCATGACGTGTTTTTCACAGTGGTAATTTGGTAGGGCCATAATATCAATATTCTCTCATTGGACACCAGGCTTGTGAAGTTGTGAGCTTGGTTATGGTATTCGATGCCCCACAGCAATCCTGACCTTTGACTTTCCCTGCTTGCTATAAGGAAATCTCATGAGAAGAAACATTCCACAGAAATGCTTTTTTGTATGCAGATGAAGAGAGACAAAGAATGAGGATACCAAGTGATTACAAATGATTAGAAAAACAGTAATAGTATTAAATATTTACCGTACCATAGTCCTATTCTCAGATAAGTGAGTGCAACTTACAGGGAAGTCATTTGCAGTTGCACCCATGTAGCAAAGGGCAAAACTTGGCCAAAAGTTCTTTCCAAATGTTGGGGCAGATCCTTCAAGCCCTCTGCAAACACAACTCCCATACACTGCACTGAGAGTTTCATGCATGGAAGCTTCTGGGATCAGGCCCATTAAACAGGTGGTTTTTAATCCCATTTAACAGATCTGAGAAGAGAGCTCAGGAGTGCTCGGGCTCCAGCTTCTTGGGCCTTACCCTACCATGCACCCTCACTTAAGGCTATGTTGAGCTTTTAGGCCTAGCCAGGAGCAAGGGTTAGCATATAAATTGCATCACATGGGAGGCATTGCTCCCCTGAGAAGCAGTGCCTTTCTTGCTTACCCCTTGCTCCGGGCAGTTGTAATCTGCCACTGGCCACATCACCTGCAAATTCTGGGGGCTTTGTGAGATTATTATTGTTTGGGATCCCACAAACCATGATGGTATCTCCAGCAGCCTAGGAGAAAGAAGAAAAGCATTGTGCTGCACTCTCTTCTCACTTGCTCTGCTGAAAATCAGGAGTAACTCCATGTTACCTCAAGTGTTCTGGTTGGTGTGTTGTAGGAGGTAGAGCCAAGACTCCACTCTTCACAGCCCCATTTCCGCTGCCTAAGCAGGGGGTGAAAGGTGGGCTGCGAAGACAGGAACATGTGAGCATGCAGTGCCTACATCTTCCTGTGCACCAGGACTCAAGATGCATGTAGCCTTTGCAGTGGATTGAGGGAGGTACAACCCAGCTTAAAGGACTCACAGTTTGAAGGACTCAAAGGCTTCTTGTTCTAGAATGAACTAATTGGTATCCATGGGTATTAACGAATCACTAACAGACCACCTAGCTACCCATTATCATTGATTAGTTTAGGTAAAGATTACAGGAGAGGTGGCTTTTACCACCAATAAAGAAATGTGTACAGTATATAGGAACTGCAAAGTTCTAGAAATCGGAGGGAGTAGAGAGTAAACCCATAGCAGGGGGGCTAATTAATAACAATGAAAGAGCGCATGGCTTACTGTGTTTGTGTGGAGGGTGAGTACAGGCCTCCTCTCCATCCACTTTTTGGGGCAGGGTTTGTTTCAGAACTGAACTTGTCTGGGCTGCTGTTTCTAATCAATCACCATTTCTGACTTTCATTTTCATTCCCCACCGCAAGCTCATCTAGAAGAGGTGTGGATTTAAAGCGGTTGTAGGTCCCACGGGCAGGATCACCTTGGCATATTCATATACCCCGGTAGTGGCATGTGTAGGTTTTTCTGTAGCACTTGTCTGTCTGGGTTTCAGTATCCATTTCCCATCACACACAAGGGGGCTGGGTATTTGTTTAATGTGGCCCAGAAGATTCAGTTATTCTGGTTTCTCCAACAATTGACTGAGACTGTTCAAATTCTAGGACCTGATTATGGGGAACTGACAGTCTAAATGCGGGAGAGACATGGTGGGCAAGGTAATATCTTTTATTGGACCAACTTATGTTGGTGAGAGAGACAAGCTTTTGAGTTTACACAGAGCTCTTCATCAGGTCTGAGAAACTAGTATTGTGTAAGCTCGAAAGCTCATCTCTCTCCACAACAGAAGTTGGTCCAATAAAAGATATGACCTCACACACTTTGTCTCTCTAATATCCTGGGACAATACAGCTACAACAACACTGCATTATTTTAATGTGTAACTTTGGAAGCACATGTAGAATCAGACCCATCATTTTCACTTTTCCCTATACCTGCTCTTCTCCTGTGGAACTCCCCTGACTTAAATGGAGATTCTCCTGATTCTCGCTAGTGTAAGAGCGGTCTATCCACAAGACTGCACTACCTAATATCACTAATAATGCCATCAATCTAATAACAAAATTCCTCCAACTCTGTCTCAGTCCAACACAGTTCAACGCATTTGAGAACTAATTGAAATTGCTTTCAAGAAACCAAGTACTGCTTTTATGATTATAGTGGTTCGATTGCCATAGTCTGACCATCTTAGCAAGACTGGTTTGTCATTTCAATTTTATTAATGCCACAAGGTCTGCTTCTTGGAGAGGAATTGCTCTGTGATGTTATCAGGCATTATAAAATATCTTAGCCGTTAAGTTACTGATTAACACAGATTCCCGCCTTGTAAAAACGTCATTGTTGTCATAGAGTACGAGGTGCTTGAAGCCAGCAGTCACTATTCAAACACACATAACAGGAATAAAACGCTGTATAAAGAGAGCCACAGAATCAGCAAACGCTTTAACTGAGCAAAGTAAAACTGCACCAAGATCTCGCTCCATGGAGGGATCAACTGGCAAGCTACACATCGAAAATGAATCAAGTTCTCCTGGACCATCAGCTGCAGACATGGACAGACTGGGGTCCACTAAAGAAGAAACTGCAGACATTAACAGACTGGAGTCCACTAAAGAAGAAGCTGTAGACAAGGATTGTCCAGGCTCCTCTTCACCATCAGCCACAGAACTGAGCAATCCAGATGCCTCTAAGCCACCAGCTTCAGAAATGAACTGTCCAAACTCAAGTAAGCCTCCAGTGACAGTAATGGACTCTCCAGACTCCTGTAAAGTATTAGTTTCAGAAATGGACCACCGACGTTCATCCAAAGCATCAATGGCAGATATGGACTGCCTCATCTGCTTCAACAGGTATCACATTTACAGGAGACCTAAGCTCCTGGCTTGCCAACATGCCTTCTGTGAAGTCTGCCTCAAGCTCATCCTTCAGAACGAGGACAATACCTGGATGATCACCTGCCCTCTGTGCAGAAAACCCACTGTTGTGTTTGGAGGGCTTATCCGCACCCTTCTTGATAAAGAAGATATCGTAGGCCGTTTGGAAAGCCCTTGTCCAAATGCTGAGATACACCTGTCTCCTGAAGGGCTACAGGGCACTGGTGGAACTCAATCCAGCCATGCCACTGTCTGTGAAAACCAGGACATTCCCAGTATCAATCAAACAGCTGTCCAAAGACTTGTGTTGCTCTTGCTGCTTGTGGTGATCCTGATCATCCTCGTACTCCCATTTGTGTACACTGGACTGATTAAGTGGGTCCTCTGCCTTGTGCTTATATTAGGGTTGATCATGTCTTTGGTGCTTTGCTGCAACCCTAACTTCAATTGCAGCTCTTTGGGGATTTCACTTCCCTTCTTCCACAAGAAAGAGAGCCACGTTATATCCATTGCCTGAAAACTGGCGTGTATTATAGAGACAGCGGACTGGCGTTATTTGCAAGTTGCCAAACGGGAAACAATGGCTGATCATTACAATATAGATCTTTAGGAACCACTGTTCTTAGAATAAATTCAAAACACATCCTTAAAGTATCCCGGTAAGAAGTAGCCACAACACACAATATTGCTTAATTTTATTATCTGACCTAGTGAAATATTTGTATTTAATATTTTTGATATGTGAGATACAATTAGTAAGGATTTTCCTTGTTTGGGTTTGGTTTTGTTCTGGCGTATTGCATTTTGACTTGTACTGCAGAATGTTTATTATATGAAATGCTTATCAGCTGGCTTCCTGGGAAGACCAGTAAAACATCTGCCAGTGTGTTTGTAGATACCCTTCTTAGCTTGTGTATATTTGTTCTTGGTAGAGAGGCTTGGGATAAAGTTAAAAACAACCATAAAGACAATGCTCTTGGTGGGCACATTGAATCTGCTTTTTAAGTAGGGTTTCTGGTATGTAGAATTTCTCCATAGCCTTGATGGAGACTCTCCTGTGTTCTTTACCAAGCAAATGGTTCCACTTACTTGAACAAAGAACACTAACCCGAATAAGACTATTTCTCACTATTCAGTCTTATGCCTGCCCCACCTCTGTTCTTGCCCTCTTCGCATAAAGCCTAGAGTATGACATTGTATTCTAAGATGTGTGGTTCCTTATGCAGGGATCAAAGAGAAGGAACTTGTTAATCACTAAAACACACCTTGTGGTACTTCTGTATGCAATGTGTCCATTAAAGTTTAATAAAATTAATTGCTCTTTGACTTCTGTGTCTCATTAGGTTTCACACATAAATTAGCTGTCAGAACACTTCAGAGCTCTCTTCCTGAAGGGAACTGGAGCTGATAAAGCACCTAAGAAATGTAGTGAAATAAGAATCAGCAATTAAAGCTGAGAGATTATGGGCTACCTCTATTGGCGTGGGGCAAATAGTAATTGAGTTGATATGAAGAAAAGACTATATAACCCAACTAAAATTATTGGTCTGTATTAAACTGGGGGAAACTAAAGTTTTCACTCACCAGTTATATTGTTGGGAAGACTTCCACTGATGTCAGTGGGCCTGATCCACGCCCCCACCGCCCCTGGTAACTATTAATATTTGTTAAGGTCAAAACACTAAGAAGGGAAACTGAAGTACTCTAGCTGTGAATGTCTCTGATGGACAGAGAGATTAGTGAGACAGACTGACTAAAATAGATGATGCCCTTTTAAAGGCATCAGCCTTGGCAGTACTATTCTTCTCTGGGATAAGACACAAATCTTTCTTCTGGCTTAAACTCTTTGAAGAGCATAAAATCTCTGGGTCTTCCTATATATTTGGGCACTACTGTAATACTAATAATCCCAAAAAGAATGGGAGTCTACACTGACACTAAGAAACCCAGCTGTAAATTTGAGGCCCAAGAGTTAACTATTTCAGTAGATGCTGAAAATCCATGTAGTGGGAGTAGAAATAGAAACCTTTCTTATGCTTTGAAGGTTAGAAAGCGAGTTGAATAGTAAGAGACTGACAGCCCTGGAGAATGTTGTTGTTTATGGATCCACAGAACATGATCACAGGCAGAGGCAGTACTGGTTTCCCTCCCACTGCCTTGTGTCAATATACTAGGGTTACCATATTTTAATTTTTAAAAAGGAGGACACTCCATGGGGCCCTGGCCCCGCCCC